CCTCTTGGCTCCGCTCTGGAGGGGCTCAGGGTCCTTCTCTCCTCCTGCACCCCTAGGCGGCCAGGCGGGGCATGAGGCAGAGAGCTGAGGGGCGGGTGTGGGTCAGACTTTCTGAGACTCCTCGCAGTCTGGTTCACAGCGGTCCTCTCCCCTGCACCTGTCCGTGTCTGCAGGTCTCTGCCGATCCTGCTGCAGACCTCCCTACCTGGCTCAGCTCTGAGACAGCACGGAAGGCTGGGGGTGGGGGTGCTGAGGCAGCAGGGCAGGGGGGACCATCACCTCAGCTCCACAGCTGCGTCAAATCCTAATCCTTGCTCTAGAGACTGCGACCCTGACTTCCTGTGTGGGCTGGAGCTGATACACAGGCGCCCTGGGAGCTAAGAGCCTCCAACCCACAGGGCGCAGCTTCCCCAAGACCCCCACTTCCTTTGCCTGCACTCTGCAGCCCCGGAACCACAGCTCTGCACCAGGGTCCCCACAGAAGAGCCCTCCTGTCGGCAGGGGCCCCCAGCAGAGTAGCCGCCACATCTGACTGCTGCCGCAGCACCGGAGCAGGAAGGGTCCCTGCCCACAGCCATCCCCTCTGCGGGCACGCAGCCTCCTGGCCCATAGAGCCAGCCAACCTGGCCACTGCGCTCCTCTCCCAAAACCTCCTCCTGCTCTCAGGTGCAGAGCTTTCCACCCCTCCCTGCCATCTCAGCAAGGCAGCAAGAGCAAGCAGAGGCAGCGTGCATGTCCACCAGCCCCGAGGAGTCATCACACAGCCTGAAGGAGCAGCCAGAATCCTCCCGCTCCCGTGGGACAGCAGTAGCTGTACTTCCGTGGAGCTGGCCCGATGGCTGGCTTCTGAGGACACCACCCGCCTGGCACTCAGCCCTCCTGGGGGAATCCTCGCCCGTGTTCCGGAAGAGAGCTGCTGTCAACTGAGAGCTGCTATCCCATCCTTGGTGCTCATAACCACAGCAGCTCCCAGTTCTCAGCCCCTGCCAGCAGAGAAGGATGGGGAACCTCAGGGGGCAAAGGGCGGCTCCTGGTCACCCTGCTGGCTACTGGACGGGGAGAGCCACAGCGACAGCCCAGCCCAAGGCATCCGACAGCCTTGATAGCTATCCCAGCAGCGCCCCGCCAGGAAATCGCTTACCAAGCACTTCCCACCCTTCCTGGTCTGGCCTCACCACTGACTATCACCATCTCGTCTTACCACGGAGAAGCAGGCTGGGGTGACCTGCCCAAGGCCACAAAAGCTAGCACACAATAACCCAGCACCCAAAACTGCGCCTGACCCCAGACTGGGGAGCACTTCACACACACACACACACACACACACACACACACACACACAGGCACAGACAGGAACATGCACACGTACTCACAGGAACAGAGCACGCAGACGCACGCACACACCCAGACACATACACACAGATGACAGGCACAGCAAAAACACAGTAAAGGGGATGCAGAATGCCTCTGCAGGCCGCACTCGCACAGCAGCATCAGTGCATCTGAAGACTGGCCCACAGGAAGCACCCTGAGCAACACAGAGAGGAAGACTGGAGAGACAGCAAAGCGCCCGAGGGCTGCGACAGTGCCCAGCTACCCAACACGCACGCCCTAGAAACCACAGAGGAGACAGGATGGAAAGAGAGACATTTGAAAAACCCATGGGTGAATTTTTTTTTTAAATAACTAAAAGCAACAAACCACAAATCTAAGAAGCTCAGAGAATCCCAAGCAGGACAGTTAACTAGAAAAAAATTCAAAGCACTGAAAAAATCAAAGGTACAAAGAAATCCTCTGCCTGACCAGGGAGCAATCGAGGACACGGCTTCCTGCTCCCCGCCAGGTCCTCCTTTCTGGGCGTGCTCTTTGCCCGTCCACGCCGGACACCAAGACACCCTTGTGCCCGGCCCCTCCCCTCCGGCCTTCCCTCCACATGAGAAGGAAGGGACCACAGGGCACGTGGCTAGTGGCCAATACTGGGCTGGTCACCCTCAGCCTGCAGTCCAGCCCCACAGCAACCCCCCAGGCACAGTCCGTCTTCCTAAGCCAGGCCTCCTGGCCAGGCCCTCTCACTCGCAATACTCCAGAGGCCCCTGCCCGGTGCAGCAACAGACACAAAAAGAAAGCGAGGACATCCGCACAGCCCAGGACCCTGCACTCCGTGTTCCTGCGTCCACCTGACTCCCCGCTGACTCACAAGTTAGGACCCAAACCAACCAACTGGCTCTGATCCTCTTACTCCTCCTGAGCAAACCAGTTCAGAGACCAGGGCCCTGCTGAGTCCCACAGGATGGGGCAGAACTGGCCCACTGGCTCCACCCCCACCGGCTCCTGCCCTAGCACCGATGCGCCTCCCTGTCTTCAGCGACGAGAGAATGCACAGGCACTTCCGGCCTGGCTGGACGGAAGGGAAAATGAAGCCACAGAGGAGGCCCTGTGGCCAAGCAGGAGCATACAGTATTCTCACGCCGAAGCAGACATGCTGTCACTCTAGGGCTCTGCCCCATCTGGAACCAGCAACTATTGCTAGCAAGCCCATGGCCCTGACTGCCACCAAACCAGTAACGCACAGCTCGACAACAAACTGAGAGCCGAACAGACTGCAAGAATGAATGATCACAGCAGGGCATGGGTGTGCAAGCCTGCAATCCCAGCACCCTGGGAGGCTGAGGCAGAATTGTGCATTGAAGCCCAGCCTGTACAACTTACAACTTAGCAAGACCTTGTTTCAAAGTAAAAAACAAGGGCTGGGGATGGAGCTCAGTGTGAAGGCCCTGGGTTCAGCCCTCAGTTACACACCCGCACAGAATGGCCATGAACACGGACCGTGATGACGAGAACACAGAGGCTCCTCGGACGCCATAGCCGAGGCACCAGGCTGCACTGCTGTCCAGCAGCACTCAGCCCTGACCAAACCGGCCCACGCCTGTGCTGTCCTGCACGTGCGCACGGGTGGCCAAGGGGCACCCAGCACGCAGTGCACGCTACTGCAGCACGGCGTCTCCCCCTCTCCGCTCTGAATGGCACCTGTGGTCAGAGGCATCTGCACGGTGCGGCACAGTCCCAACCTGTCATGAGGGCTGAGACGCCAGAACAGGGAACATCCAGCCAGCGGCACAGCAGTGAAAAGGCGCCTGCATCCAAGAGGCTCCTGCGATTTTCCAAAGGCAAAAAGCACCCGTGGGGCAGGGCAGAGGCTGGCCACGGAGCAGGGGCCCTCTGTCCCTCCGAGACTGGGACTCTGAGCTACTTCCTGCCTTCTCTGAGCCCCTGAGAAACATGCATAAGGCCCATGCATGTGGACTGACCAGGGCAGAGCCCTGAGCACTCAAGTTCAGTAAGTAGCCTCAGGCATAACGGTCCCAAAAGGGCTCAGGGGACCCCCAGCGCCTGAACTGGAGGTGACACCTCTCAAAGGATCTCAGAGCCATGCCATCTCTGCTGCTAAGTCAGGCCACTCAATCCCCACAGCCTCCGTCTCCCCATCTGTGAAATGGGGACCTTGCCCTGTCCCTCGCCTACTCTTTGGGGAGACAGAGGGCCTTGTAAGCTACACACAGAGTGTGCAGGCGGCTGGCTGCGTCCTTAGTGACAGCATCCATCTAGGCCTGCAGACAGTTCCAACAGGATGGCCCTTGGGCTGTCTGGCCCTCAGGCGTACAGGTAAGAGGAGCAGGCGGGGGAGGCGAGGCAGAGGGAGACAGTGAGAGGCGAAGGCCACACTCGTCGTCTGAACTCTGAGAAGCTGGCTCCTGGGACACAGTGCCCACAGGCTCTCTGGGCAGTCACTGGTTCTCCACTACGCAGAAGACCATTATATCTCTGTGTCACGGGGATGCGTTACAAACATGTGTCATCCACGAGTCCACCAACCCAGCAGGGGGCTTAGAGCAGGTACACTCCATACCAGCGCTTTCTCTAGAAGCCAAACTCTCCTTCCCACCCCTGTGATCCGCAGCACTGGGGCGACAGCTGTGCAGGCTGGTCTCCCGCCACAGCAAGAGTCCCTGGTCAGTCTCCTTCCATTCGCCCTTCCCCAGGACAGCCCAGCAGGCAGGGCTCCAGGCTGCAGGCAGCCACATTAGACTAGGACTTCCTCCTCCAAGCCTCACAGGCCCAGCACCTCTGTGCGGCCCCAACCCTCCACTGAGACCCCCTACCCAAGCTTCCTCGGGGACATCCAGCATCTGCCCGCGGGGTCTGGTCGCCCATACAGTAGGAGGGCTACGCCAACAGCTCTTGCCACAGCCTGCCCCACAGATGGTCCAATACAGTGACCCGAAGGCAGCCACCTTCTAAACCATGCCAGAGACAGCCAGACTGGGCATCTCCCTGCCATTCAGGGGCGACAGAGGGCCCTCCGGGCACACCTGGAGAACAGGAACGCTACCTCTTTTCCCCACGAACCTCCGAAGAGGCATCACACCGCCGCTGCTCCCATCGGGCCCTCCAGCAGGCCTGCAGCCACTGCTTCCACCAGGCTTCACGTGCCACTCACCAGCTGGGTGACCTTGGGCCGGCCACCCCCTTCTCTGAGCCCTGGTGTCGGGACTGTAAAGGGGGCATCACCATCTGCACCATTCACGGTAGCTGCGAGCGCTGACGTCAGTTAATGCTGGGAAATGGAAACGCCTGGGCTCCCGCCTGGGGGAGGGAAGAGCCTTTAAAGCAGGGACCGTGCAGGGCAGGCACAGGGCCAGGGGTGGTCCCTCCGCCACCCGTGCCCACGCTGGAAATGAGCCCGTGCTTTGCGTCCCTCTTCCCGAATCATCACCAGGACGCCGCGCTCACCCGAGGCGGGCCCGGTTCAGAAACAGAGAGGTTCGGTGACCCGCCCAAGGTCACACAGCCGCCGGGTGCGGGAGGGAAGGCGGGACGGGTGCGGGACTCAAGGCCGCGGGCCTCGGTTTCCCCCTGCGGCCGGCCCCTCCCTGCCCGGCAGGGTCGGGCACCGGGCGGTGGCCTCGGCGGCGCGCTGCGTCCCGGCGGGCGCGGCTCACCGGACTTGGGGTAGGTGACGATCCACACGTCGCTCGGCCGCACGGGGAAGTTGGCGATCTCCTCCATCTTCCCGCGGCAGAAGGGCGGCAGCCGCACGCCGTGGAACTCGAAGTACTTGCTCTCGAACTCCCCCGGGGTGCTGGGGGTCTCGGCCTCGCTCTCCGCCATGCCGCCGCCCCTCGCCGCCCGCTCCCCGCACGGCCCCGGCGGCCTCAGCTCCAAGGCGTGACGTCACGGCGCCGGCGCGCG